TCCTGGAGCCATTATGTGTTTTTCTAGTTGGAAATTGCATTTGAGATGGTGGAGGAAGATGACAGTCACACTAAATAAGGGAAGGACATTCAATAATTCAATTGTACTTTCCATTTCTCAAAAAATATATGAAGGGGAGAAAATTGTCCACAATATAAGAACACACCATGAATTTTATCATATTGGGTGAATTTTCTTGTAGCTGGTAGTTTTAAAGCCATGTTACATAGAAATCTAAGATTCCCCAGAGGACAAAGAAAGCTGCCACAAGAGGCAAGTCACAGATGTAGAGCCACTTCTCTCTTTAGACAAAAAGCTCTACATCTACCTGGTATAAAACAGTTCATCCCTAAAATGGTTTTTATTTTTAAAAAGAAAGGTTCTATTCTTTGGAACACAGTTTAGATTGGCGTGAAATTTACTACTTTTGTGAAAGGGTGAAGAGAGCCTCTGAGAGATTATAACAACATAGCTGAGGTCACACAGCCACATGGTGGCAGACATATGACTTTTGGTCTAAGAACTGAGCCTGCAGTTCTACAAACTACTACTTTCATATTCAGGGAAGGTATACATTTAAATATAGATCATAGAAAATACCTATGAAAGTCTTTGTCAGGGAGCTTAATTATATCTAAGCATGAGACATAAATAATTTGTAAGATCTAAAGCTATGAATAACAATAAAGAAATGAAACTAATGTTATGCCTCCTGTGAGTGGCAGTTAAATGTACTCAATGGCTAATGCAAAGAAGTTTTAAGTCACAGAGGGGGAACTTGAGGAAATTATATTTAATTATATTGAGCAAGCTGAATTTAAGAAAATTCTTCTGTTGGTAATATTTTCTTATGTAGCCAAGACTGGCCTCAATCACACGATCTTTCTGCTTCAGCTTCCCAAGTGCTGGGATTACAAGTGTGTACCACCATATCCACCTTGAAAACAACCAAATTTGAATAAAGGTAGCTGACCTAACTGGACATTTGAGAAGTAGAAAAATGACTTAAATAAGTAATTGGAAGATTTCATAGCAAATCAAAATAAAAATTAATCTTGAGGTGGGGAATGTGGCTCAGATGTAGAGTGCTTGCCTAGTATGTAGAATGCCCAGGGTTCTAGTCCTAACACCATGAACAAGCACAGCCTCATGTTGTAAAATTACTTAGTGACTACTGTGTGTCATTTATTATGTTAGCCACACAACACTCAGACATAGAAAATGTTTGAATGAGATCAGTTCTGTTTTTAATAAAATTCAAGTACACTTTTAAGTTTTGATTTGTCAAGATATTGCATATAGCTTAACATATACAGTGTGTGCTTCTCATAAACAAGAACTTCATTTCAGTTCAGGTCCCAGCACCAAGAACGTCTTTAGAATATCCCAGTTATCAGAAAGGAATTCTATGTGTAAACCATCTAGCTATCAATGTATCTATTCAGGATATTTTTAATTTTTGCATTTTAAAATAATAAAGGTAAAGAAATGATAACATTATATAATTAGTTCTGATATGTAAAACAAAGCATCCCAGTGTTCAAGGTGTGACTCAAGCAGTGAAGTGCCTGCTTTGTAAGACTGAATCCCTGATATCAAACCCACACCACCAAAGAACTAAAAAATGACAAGGAACCCCATAATTTAGAATGCAATAACTGAAAGTAAAAGTCTAAATTTCATGGAATGGGAGGAGATGCAATAAGTGCTAAATATTATGAACATGAAGAAAACTCACTTCACTGACGAGTATAATTGAAATCCCAGACTAGAGCAATGGTTTATTATAATAATTTCCCTTAACATTAACAAACATAAACTATAATGCTAGTAGGTTAGAAACTCACAAGAGAAACAGTAAAAAATGATTCAAAACCTTGCAAATAAGGAGATGGATAAACAAATTCAATATTAATGTTTTTTGTTTTTTGGTTCGAACTCAGGTCTTCCTACTTGATGGGTTCTACTGCTTGAGACACCTCCAGCCTTAATGTTAGTTTAAAAATTTTTGCTTTCTGAAATGATAGCTAAAAATAATCAAAAATCTGTCATTTTATAATGCCTCAACCAAAAATGTGTCCTTTTCTGTCATTTTAGAGAGCATATTGTCACCTGTATTAGTGTAATTTGCTTTCCCATTAGAAACAATCAAATATTTACTAACTGCAGATGATACTTTCTTTCTTAAATTTAAGAATTTTATAAATGAAGGGCTACAATAAATCACTGAAGGCATTCTGAAATAACTTTGCAGAAACATCTCTGCATCTTCATAGAAGAGTGATTCTCAGTCTGTCTTAGTAAGTTTACTGGACTTTGAAAATGCATACTCCATCAGAAAACCATTGTATGCCTAGGAACTATTAGAATAAGTTTAAAAATGATTATACTTTCACGTGTCAACTTCTCTAAAAATAACTTTATTCCCCCCCAAAATTTAGCAGTGTTGCTTTGCCCTAAAAAATCTTCCTTTGCATCTTATATAGATTTCCACACTTGTTTATCATTCTCTTGTAAAATGATACATTATTTGGTTATTACCAGTAGGAAATATGAGAACATTTTATATATTCATCATGCTTAACAATTTACAATATTTAAGGTTAATTCTCTCTTTCTACAGAGATTATGACACAGACCATGACCCTCTCATTTTTTCAGAAAAATATGAAAGTAAACTATCATGAAATTTCAGCTATGGTTTTATGATTTATGTATTAAATAGTCATTCAGTTTGCTGACTTTAAAGCTGTTTGACCGCAATGTGGCCTAAGAAATCTTATCTTGCAAGGCTCTTCTATTATTAGGAGAAAAACAAGTAAGAAGATAAGGTTGGAGCTTCATTTAATAGAGGCCTGAATACATTTCTGTGCATTAAAAAGTTCATGAAGCAAGGCATGATGGATCATATCTGTAATTCAGCTATTCTGGAGGAGGAGAAATAAAGATCATGGATCCAAGACAGCCTGGGCAAAGTAAACATGAGAATCTAGCTGAAAAACAAACTAAATGAAAATGGACTAGGGGTATGACTCAAGTGATAGAGTGCTTGCCTAGCATGTGACAGGCCCTGGGTTCAATCCCCAGTACCACAAAAATAAGAAAAAATAAAGATTATGAAAACACCCAATAAGCAAGTGTGCACAGATTGAAATGGTATTTTAGTAACAATGAAAACTAGGTACAATTTATTTATTTGCATTTTGTTAAAACAAATATGTTGTTTTAGTATTTTCTCTGGTACAAAGGCCAAATATTAACAAATATCATAATGTTAGTAAAGCATAGTTGAAACTTTCTGACCAACTCTACAATGGATAAAAGTTATCATTGTTGGAGCAATTTTTAGATCTCCAGAAATGAGCTCCTGCAATGATCGAAATTGTATGGTTGAATGGGAGTTTTCCTGTTCCATTTTTAGGGGAGTATGGACAGTGCACAGATTTACATAATATTCTGGAAAGGGAGGTTAAAGTTGATTCTGTTTGATGGCAGTTGCTATTTAAAGCCTCTTTTATCACTGCTGTATTACTCACCATTAAGGATAACAGGGCAGAGACATCATTGAAATTCAGATCTAAATATTTGCTTATTTTCATTATTTAAAAAATTACAACAACTATGAAAGTAATATGGAGATTACTCAAAAAATTAGGACTACCATATGACCCAGCAATTCCACCACAGGGTATTTCTGCAAAGGAGATGAAATATATACCCAAAAGGTAGTGGTACCTCCATGTTTATTACTGCCTATTCACAGTAGACAAAATATGTAATCAATCCAGATGCCCTTCAGGGGATAAGGTGATAAAGAAAATGCAGCAAATTTGTAAAATGGAATACTGCTCAGCCATAAAAAGAATGAAATCCTGTCACTTTCAGAAGCATGGATGCAAGTGGAGAACACAATGTTGAGTGAAACAAGCTAGACATGGAAAGACAAAGTGCACATGATCTCACTCATTTAACTTTGCAGAAGTGTAGACTAGAGCAGTGGACACTAGAGGTGGGAATAGCATGGAGGAAGGGGACATAAAATAATTAAGGCAGTCAACTGTGGACTGAGAAGCATGTAGGGGGAGTTGTATGTATGGAAATATCACAATGAATCCCACAATTTGTACAACTAATTTTTTAGGTGGTACTGGGGCTTAAATTTAGGGACCCTACACTTGCTAGGCAAGTGCTCTACCACTTGAGTCATTCTGGGAGCCCTGTTTTGTGTTGAGGCTTTTTGAGATAAACTTTCACACATTATTTCTCTAGGAGGCCTGATCTCTGCCTCCTGAGTAGCTGGAATACAGGTGTGAGCCATTGGCGCCCAGATGAGTTAATAATTATAATTAATAACTATTGTTATAACAATAAATACTATGCCACAATAAACATGCTTTAAAAACTGAGATAACAATGATGTGAGTAAAGTGGCACGCATATTCTTATTGAAGAAAAATGGCAAATTTTAACCTTTAAAACAGAAATTAATCTCTTTTAGTATTTCAGGTTTATTTAATTCATAAAGTGTATTCATCTCAGATTATTTAAATTATAAACCTGTAAAGGTGGTTAAGCATTGGATGTCAATCATTCACTTATGTAAGGGATGGAAATCTTGGAATTGTGCAGGAAAGCTCTAAAGGTGTTATGAAACACAGCCAAACTAAAATCACTTAGAAGCTAAGCCAAAGTATGGTAAAGTATACCATTAGTTAGAGCAGTCGTACTCATTTTGTAAAATATAATACTAATGCAGCTTTTAAAGAAAGTGTAAAGTATGTTATCTTAGTTATATTTGCTGAATCAAGTAAAGAAAATGAGTATTCCTTAAAAACAACAGTTTTAGGGACTTTAAAAAAGTTATAAACTTCTATTTTTTCTTTTTATTAACACAGATATTTGTGATTTTACTTAATATGCACAAGTCAACCAGACATCTTAATATTTCACCAAGAACTGCATCAGAAATCTGAAACTCAAATGAAAAAAATATAACTAACCCACTTCTCATAGTTCTGCATGGTCTCAGCTGAAGGCCATGGGGATGAGGTAGAATCCACTAAGTTTTCTGTTGGAAACTGTCCGGAAGAACTCTTTGGAATAAAAAGTCTGGTGTTAGGACTTCCAACACAACTGCACTCTAGGACAGATCTTGTATTAGGAGAGCTATGTTGTAAAGATGTCTTCTGTTCTTCCAGAAGAATCTTGGTCTTGGCTTCATCTAGTCTCTTATTAGTTCTGTGAAGATTTCAGAAGGCAAATAATTAGTATCTCATCACTCCTATTTTTTTTATAACGTTATTGTTGTGCTATGGATACATTGTGACACATACGAAGGTGCTTACAATATATCTTAGTTAAATTCACTCCCTCCTTCATTCTCCTTTACTCCCCCCATTCTTACAATAGGTTAAACAGGTCTCATTTTTAAATTTTCATGCATGGGTACATAATATTTCTACCATATTCACCCATATACACCCTTTCCTTACATCCTACTTCTCCAACTGGTACCAAACTCCATGACAGAACCTATATTACCTTACTGTCTTCCATTTTTGGAAAAATACACTTTTGTTTGTTAAAGATAGCAATACAGAGGGTTTCATTATGACATTACCATGTATATATGTATTGTATAATAAGTTGGTTCATCCTCTCCATTTTTCTCTTTTCTACCTTAGTTCTTTCTTTATGGTGATGACAACAGCTTTATAAATTCTATATTCATTCTTATATAGAAAGTACGTCAAAGAAGGTGTTCTTTACTTCCTATTTTTACCCTCCCTGTCCTGTTAGTGCCCTCTCCTTTGCTTAGTATAAACTGTTTTATGATTCTGTCTTTTGTTGTTCAGATGTCTGTTCATTGTTCAGTGGGAATTTTTTGCCTTGGTATTATACATATACATGCATTGTACATAAGTCATATAACCACCTCCACTGTGCTTTCTTGCCCTTTTTCCCTATCCTGTGCTGTTTAACAGTTTCAGCATATTCTTTGTGTCTTGTTCCTACACAGATGTAATGAATTTCATTATTATTTGCTATTTATTTTTCTCCTCCCTTGCTTTCCACTATCACTCCCACTTTTTGATATAAGGTCTGTATATATTTCTACATATATGTAATATTGCTTGTATTTGTATTGGGTATATATTCCACATATGAGAGAAAAAATGTTGTCTTTGGCTTTCTGAACCTGGTCAACTTCACTTAAGATAATGTTATTCAGTTCCACTCATTTACCTGCAAATGACAAAATTTTATTGTTCTTCTTGGTAAACAAAATGCCAGGGTATATGAATACCACATTTTCTTAATCCATTCATCAGTTGTGCAGGATGTTGGCTGTTTCTATAGCTTGGCTATTGTGAATAATGCTGCAATAAACTTGGGTGTGCAGGTGTCTTTACTGTAACATGACTTACATTCCTTTGGGCATATCCATAGGAGTAGTACTGGTGGGTCACATAGCAGCTCTATTTTTAGTTTTTGGAAGAGCCTCCATTCTGTTTTTCTTAGAGGTTGCACTAATTTGAATTCTCACAAATTAAAATTTCCCCACATCCTTGCCAACATTTGTTGTTTGTGTTCTTGATGATCGCCATTCTAACAGGAGTGAGGGACATCTTAACATTGTTTTGATTTCCATTTCTTTTATGGCCAGGGATGTTGAACATTTCTTTATGTGTTTTTTGACTAGTCAGACTTCTTCAACAAAGCTCTATTCACTTCATTTGTCCAAATCTTCATTGGGTCATTGTGTTTTGGGGAGTTTAGTTTTATGAGCTCCCTGTATATTCTCATGATTAATTAATTCCTCGCCAGATGTACAGCTGCCAAGATTTTCTCCCATTCTGTAGGGTGCCTCTTCAATCTGGTGACAATTTCTTTTGTTGTGCAAAGCTTTTTAGTTTCATGTAGTTCCATTTGTCAATCCTTTCTCGTAGTTGATGAGCCATTGAAGTTCTATTTAGGAAATTAATGCCTATTTGTTCCAGTATATTCCTTATTCTTTCTGCACTAGCTTCAAAGTACAAGGTGGTAGAAACTAACCAATGTGGGTTGCAATACAGAAGTGCATGGAAGCAATGCTAGGAATCTCTCTATATAGCTATCTTTATCTCAAATTAGCAAAAACGAATATGTCTTTCTTACTATCTGTTATGTTTTTCTCTTCAATAAAATCGGAGAAGAAGAGGCAGAACAGGTTCTGCCTGGAAGTGGGGGAGGGGGACGGTGGCAGAAACAATTTGTACACATGTAAGTAAATGTAAAAACGATAAAATAAAAGGAGGAGAAAAAAGTAAAATCTTTTCTTTCAGTGGCAAAATAAATGATTAAACAATAATAGTGGCTGATATATGGAATAAAAAATGAATATATATTTTCAATTCTGTCGTGGAATGTAATTTCTGGGTCATATGTAATACAATATGCAACGTTATGAGGAGTTACCTGTCGCTTTGCACAGTGGCTGAACCATTTGCCTTCTCACTAGTCACATACGCGGGACCTCTACAGTATCTCATGTTGAAGAGCACCTGCCTACCAAGTGTGAGGCCCTGAATTCAACTCAAATGCTTGCCATGTAGCCTTTACAATGTTGAGGTACATTCCTTCTATTACTAAGTTTTCTTAGTTTTTATCATGAATGGTGTTGAATCTTATCGAAGTTCTGTACCATGCTGTTTTTATTGCTATGTCTCTGTAGTATAGTTTGAAGTCAGTAATTGAAAACTCCTGAGCTGATCTCTTTGCTCAGTATTGCCTTGGTTTGGAGGCTTGCATTTTAAAAAGAAATTGTCATAGCATTAAATGGAACTCTCCTGACACGGTGTCTTAAAATTCAAAATATGTCAGAATATGCCATCTATCCAATTCCTGAGTGTGCCTTAGACATGGTTGTATTTATAGAGTAACTGTGAGATGATGGATTTGCTAATTTGTTTGACTATAGTAGTCATTTCACTATGAAAAACACATTAAAAATCATGTTGTACTCCTGAAGTACATACAATTAAAAATAAGGCATTAAAAAGCTAGTAATATTTTAGTAAGCTAGTTTAGGAATTTAAAAATAATACCGAAAGTCTGCATATGGAGAATTCCAAGATGGCGGCTAGAGGTAGGAAGCAGAAAGCGACCCTCCTATAGTGAAATCTTGGAGAGACGCTGGAGACACACTTTGCAGGCATAATCACCGAGAAAAGGCATAACTTTGACCCCTCCACATCTCCAGCCGGCGCAGAGAATCTCCACTTCACGTTAAACGGAGAACCGAGGAGGCCTCCGGGCCGCCAGTGGCCGGCGCCCATAGGGCTTGGGAAGACGCGGACCAGGTGAGCTTCGCGGTACCGCGGTTCCCCCACAGACAAGCCTGGGCCAGAGCAGCATAGCCCCCTGGACAGACTGACCTCCACCCGGGAAAAAAGAGAAACTGAGTACTAAGCAATAAGAACAGTTAAGACACGCTGGAAAGAGGGTGGGGCGCCCTGAGCGCTGAAGATTGGGGGAAGGGAACCCTTCCCGGGACTGTAAATAAACGAGCCGGGCGGGCCGGAGAGGCTCTGGCGGGAGCGGGGCGCGCCAGCAACCAGGAGCGGGACGCTTGTGAGAGGAGGGAAGACCCACTTCCCACGTGAACTGTAAATAAACACGCAGGCCTGACAACGCGGGCAGTGTCACCTTTCCCAGTGCTTGGAAAGGGAAAAGCCTGTAGCAGAGGCTCCCCGCACAGGAGAACTCTGAGCAAACAAAGCCTGTGGGACCAGGTGAGTGCTAAGCTCACCCCAGAGATCTGCATAAATAACGCCGCCAGCTACAGGCTGAGAGCAGCAGGCAGGCAAGCCACAGTTGCAGATACCACTCTCAGAACTGCCTCCAGACGCTTTTTTTTCTTTTTCTCCCTACCTTTGATGAGAGAACAACCGAATTACACCTGCAAGCCGAAAAACTTACTGAAACTGTATTGCATTTGAACTGGGGACACTTGGTGGGGCTTTTTTTTTTTTTCTTCTGTGTGTGTGTGAGTGTAGTTTTGTTCTACTTTATGCATCCCCTTTGATGAGACAACTACAGAACAACATCTGAGGCACCAACTCCAGGACTGGAGATTGAGACGGACATCCAAATTATTAAGACTGAAATTGCATTGCATATAAACTTGGAAGTTTTTTGGTTTTTTTTTTTTTTTTTTTTTTAATTTTCTATTTTCCATTTTATTTTAATTCATTTTTATAAATAGATATTACTTTCATATACTTATTTTTATTTTTTTATCTTTGATTTTCAATCCTCTCTCTGTCTCTCTATTGTCTGTTCAGCTTACTGTCGATTAGTACACTAACACTCCCTGTTTATACCTTTGAAACTCTCTTGTCTGATACCTTGTTCTGCTTTCTCCCTCTTGTCTGTATATTTGTTTTCCCCTTTTCTTTAACTTCTTGCTTTCCATCTCAGCTCACTCTTCCATTCTCAATATTACCATTGTTATTATTACAAGCTAGAAAATACTTAATTACACACAGTACAGGGACAGTAACAACACCAAGGACAATGACAGGAAGACAGAAAAAACAAGGAAACCAGTTTCCCCACAGCAAAAAATTAGTACAGGAACCAGAGGGGAATGAAGAGAACAGAAACTCAGATCCAGACTCCAACAAAATGAAGATAAACTATGCCAAAGGACCCAATGAAGCCTACAAGAATAATTTAAAAGAAGACATACTACAAGTACTCAATGAGAATTTTATAGAGATGATACTGGATAGGGTCAACCAAAATGTACAGGAGACACTCAAGAAATTCCAAGACAATAAAAATAGAGAATTTGAAAAAGCAAAAGAAGAAATAAAGGAAACCATAGAAGCACTGTATAAACACCAAAGTGAAAGAGAGAACACAATGAATAAATGGATAAATGAACTCAGGACAAAAATAGACAACAATAAAGAAGAAAACAGCCAGGATATGGAAAACCTCAGAAAAAAGAACGAAACAGAACTGCAAAACAAAACGGAAGGCCAATCCAGCAGAATAGAACAAACAGAAGACAGAATCTCAGAACTTGAAGATGAAATGGTAATTAAAGGAAAAACTGAAGAACTATTAATTAAACAACTCAAGACCTGTGAAAAGAAAATGCAAGAACTCACTGACTCCATCAAAAGACCAAACTTGAGAATCATGGGCATCGAAGAAGGAGAAGAGGTGCAAGCGAAGGGAATGCGTAA